GGTGTTGCTCCCGCGCCTCGCTCAGCCAGTGAGCGGGAACCGGTCTGTATGTGGGATCCGAACCCTCGGGCGGGAGCGCCGCCACGCTTCCCAAGAGGCCCACTTATCCAGTGCACCACTGGGCCGGCCCCTTGCTATTTGTTTTCTATACATCATGTCTTTTCTGTTGTTTTATTCCATCATTATTGCTTTCTTTTGTGTTCAATAGCTATTTTATACTGGATCATTTAATTCTGTTTTTACTTCTTTACTACACCATTTTTTTTTTTAAAGATGACCAGTAAGGGGATCTTAACCCTTGACTTGGTTTTGTCAGCACCATGTTCTCCCAAGTGAGCGCACTGGCCATCCCTATATAGGGTCCGAACCCGTGGCCTTGGCGCTCCTGGTGCCGCACTCTCCTGAGTGAGCCATGGGGTCGGCTCTCCCTCCAATGAATTCTTGTCTGCTTGTTTTCACCATGATTGTGGGCTGTTGGTTTCAAGGCTTCTGTGCAGCTGGGGAGGGAGAAATGGGAATAGGACATGAATGCCACACAGCTCACTGTTCTTACCAAGATTCAGCCATGATTCTTGAACAAACAGTCCTGGGATTGCAGAAAACCTTTGGTTAATTTTCAGAGTTCCGAAAAATGTTAATTCTGACAATTTTGCCAGGGTTCATTTTGCTTTTATAGAGGAGAAAATTTTTGGAGTTTCTTACCCTGACATTTTTGCTAATGTCACACAATATGGTTTGTTTGTTTGTTTTGTTTTGTTTTCAAATTTCATTGGATGCTTCAGGAATTACAATATAAATACATAACTTTTCACAGTCTACTTAGAATTAATAGTTTGGCACTTCATGTAGAATGTAGAAACTTCACCATTTATCATCATGACTTTATTCTGTAATTTTCACATGTATTTCATCGATGCACATTGAAACCCCATCAGTGTTGTACCTTTCTGTTCCAAAAGTGATACATATTCTAAAGAACTCAAAGAGAATAATCAGCTTTTCTATTTACCAAGTAGTTACCATTTCTGTTGCTCTTCCTTCATTTGTGATATTCCAAGTTTCCCTCTCGTTTTACTTCCTGTCTGAAGAACTTCCTTTCGCATTTCTTTGAGAGCAAGCCTGCTGGTGATAAATTCTCCTCCTCTTCCTTCACTAAGAATGTCTTTATTACACCTTTATTCCTGAAGAATATTTTAACTGTATATAGAATTGCCCAGTGAACGTTGATTCTAAGGAATGGGAGGTAAGG